AAATTATTATTAAGCACAAAATCAGGGAATTATTAGTTACCTTAAATATAGGAATTATTTAGTTTTTTCGTTTAAATAAATATTAATTATATTAAATTAAATGCTAATGGCATATCTTTGTAAATAACTCATAAAACTATGGCAGAATCCTATGAGGGATTCTGCTTTAATAGTATAGATTTTTCTTTAAAATATTAAGCGACAAAGATCCTAATTAAACCGATCCAAAAACAAACCGAACTGGATATAAATTGAATTAGACATAAACAACACCGAACCAGACTAAATAAGGTTTATTTCAGTTGGAAAAATATATTAAAACCGAACTAAACAAACTAAACCGATTAATTAACGATTTGCCCACCCCTACTACATCCTAGAGATTTGCGCAAATCTTGTCTCAGGATTGAAACTCTGACTTGTTCTACTATCTCCCACATTTGAACTCAATAGATACTCCTGTCTCATCATTATAATATATTTTTATACCCGCACAGGGTGCGGGTCGGTCACCTAGTATTAATATAAATCGAAAAATTGGAGAAAATCTCTGGGTGTGATGGTAGTTTGGAAAGGGCCCAAACAAGGGTTACAGCTATGTAAATATTATTGCAGAAGCAGATTTTTAGGCTTAGTCAAATTTATATTCCAGTTTATCATCTTGCGCTTTAAACCATAAATCACGTGAAGGAGCGTGTACCTTCTTCACAGGCTCTCACCAAGACACGCGAATCCAAATATCGTTTTTACCCTTTACATTTACCTGGCGAATTTATTAAATTGCCATACTTTATTACCTCTCCCCGCCTCCCCACGCCAAATTTAAGTCCCAAATTGACGATAATACTCTTAATCTTCCCCAACAAGCCTCTCGAAAAATTTTCAAAACATTTCGACGGCTCCCTCCACCCTTTCCCTCTCCCCCTTCAAACCCTTTCGTCCCCAATAAGTATCCCTTCCCTAAATCCCAAAAAATCAAACCATCAATCAAATCTTCACTAACCTCTTCAATCAAAATCACCATCATTAAAAAAATGCCTTCCATGGCAGAAGAGCCGCTCCTAACCCCAACCCCAGACAGATTCTGCATGTTCCCAATCCACTACCCTCAGATCTGGGAGATGTACAAGAAAGCCGAAGCCTCCTTCTGGACCGCCGAGGAAGTCGACCTCTCGCAAGACACCCGCGACTGGGACAACAACCTCAACGACGGCGAGCGCCACTTCATCAAACACGTCCTCGCCTTCTTCGCCGCCTCCGACGGCATCGTCCTCGAGAATCTCGCCACTCGTTTCATGTCCGACGTCCAAGTCTCCGAGGCGCGTGCCTTCTACGGGTTCCAGATCGCGATTGAGAATATCCACTCCGAGATGTACAGTCTCTTGCTGGATACTTATATTAAAGATAACAAAGAGAGAGATCATTTATTCCGCGCGATTGAGACCATCCCTTGCGTTAAAAAAAAGGCCCAATGGGCCTTGAAATGGATCGATGGGTCACAGACTTTCGCGGAGAGGATCGTCGCGTTTGCTTGCGTGGAAGGGATCTTCTTCTCTGGGAGCTTTTGTTCCATCTTCTGGCTTAAGAAGAGAGGTCTCATGCCGGGATTGACTTTCTCCAACGAGCTGATCTCGAGAGACGAGGGGTTACACTGCGACTTCGCGTGCCTTATTTATACTCTCTTGAGGACGAAGCTGACGGAGGAGCGCGTGAGGTCTATCGTCTGCGACGCGGTGGAGATCGAGAGGGAGTTTGTGTGCGACGCGCTTCCGTGCGCGTTGGTGGGGATGAATAGGGATCTGATGAGTCAGTATATTGAGTTTGTTGCGGATAGGTTGTTGGGTGCGCTTGGGTGTGGGAAGGTGTACGGTGTGGCGAATCCGTTTGATTGGATGGAGTTGATCTCGCTTCAGGGGAAGACGAATTTCTTTGAGAAGAGGGTTGGGGATTATCAGAAGGCTTCTGTTATGTCTAGTGTTAATGGGAGTGGGGGGTTTGATAACCACGTGTTTTCGCTTGATGAGGATTTTTAGATTAAGATTTAATTTAATTGTTGTTGTTATGGTTTGATCCTTTGTAATATTCCGTGTCTGTTCGTGCTTTTTAATTAATGGAATAGTATAAGCTTTACCTCTATTTTGACGCAGCCCAGTCTCCATGATTAAGAATGTTACTCAACAATTCGTATGTAATTGATAGATCTATATTTTTATGACGAAATTTAACTCTTTAGACGCAAATGTAAACAGATAATTATTTTGCTTTCAACAAGCTCGATCTTTAGCCCCTCTTGAATTTTCCTAGCCAGTGGAGCATATTAAATAGGTATAAATTAAATTTTATCCAACAGCAACCAACAAGTTGATATGGCCGAGTTGGTCTAAGGCGCAGGATTAAGGTTCCTGTCCGAAAGGGCGTGGGTTCACATCCCACTGTCAACAATTTATTTTTTTCTATTTCCTGCATTTCACACGGTGACGTGTCATGAGATGGGGCTGGTTTGATTTTTAATTTTCCCTTTTCTTTGGTAGAGGTACCATTGAACAATATCAACGTGTTTGAATGAAGTACCACCCAATCAGTTCCTATCCCATTCTCAACAGAAATAAAGATTGAGAGAGTAGAACGTAGAAACGAGAGTTGTTTTGCCTCTGATTAGAGTCATGCTCACAAGCTGTGGCGTTGTTGATGACCGATGATGCTGGACTAGACCTTGACGGCTTGTGACGAGGCAATGCATACTTGTTCCAACAAATACAAATCCTATTCGCATAATTCTACGTTTAGACTTTCTACTATCACTTTTCTTTTTCATCTTATTTTATATGCATTCATGAATGAAAGACAGGGATCGATGCTCATATTATTACATACCTTAATCTCCACAACCGCTGATATTTTCAGCGTCTCCAATATAGCTAGTATGGATGTTGTTGCTAAGTTTTCCGGAAGCTGCAGCAAACTTTTTAACTCTTTCAGTAACTCAGTCACCACCACGAGATTCAAAGAATTACTTCCAAAGACGGAGTTGCTAAGTCAGGCAAACAAACACCTTGAGATATATACACCCATTAATATATACTCACTTTTCATTTCGAAATATAAAATGTTTTAGTCTTTTAGATAAAAAGCACAATGAAAGTAACCATATATGCCTACAAAAAAAGAAGAAGAAAATAAAAATAATTAATTTCTTAGAAACAGAATAGGAGACATCGTAGAAAGGTGGGAAACACAACCAAACAATCTGGTAAACAGTTACCTGAATCAGAATTATACTTGTGTGATCAATAACATGACATCAAAACTAGGAAAATCCATGCTTAGGTGGCTCAGGTGGGAAATTTCCTGCTCGACATCTCGACCCTGGGAGATGGATGATGGATCGAGCATGATCTCAAGATGCAGATCGGAACTTATTTTTAAGCAAAAAAAAAAAAAAAACTTATTTGTTCTATTTAGGTTGCAAAGTTAGCACTCTAACAAATTCAAGTAGATCTAAGGATTCTTTATTTTTGTTTTAAATCGCAAATCAATGTATTTTTACATCTATACTTTTATTACAAATGTTATCAAATTATGTCAAAACAATATTGGAAAATACTAGTAGCCTTTTTTAAAAAAAAGTTCCACACATTATTTTGGTCATATACTTTAGGAGGAGAATACAATACAAAACAAAACAAAACTATGTTCACGTAGGTGGATGTCCAAAAAAAAACGGTGCTTAAGATATCCAAAAGAAAAATATGTTTGCAGTTAGCTATATTTATCTTTACACTACGATTTCAACCAAAAAAAAAAATCTCTAAACTTAGGTCCGCACTAATTCATTGGCGTTATAAAGATTCTCCCAGATAGAGAAAATAAAGTCTTTTATTTAAAATCTATACTATTAAAGCAGATGACTGCTTATGAATCTGCCCCTGATTTTTTAAGGAAATTACAAAACATTCCACTTCCTTTTATTTTTAATGAAAATCATCCATTAAAAGCCGAATTGAAAATCGCCAATTAAAAACCCATAATTTTAACATTTATTTACAACGAAATGGGCTTCAAATCTATACAAAAAAATTATATATTTGTAAGTTTACAAATTTATCAACAGAAGTAGGTCTGAGTATTTGACATAGACCCGAACAAGAACCGACACGAAAATACAGATCCAGGTCCGGGTTCGGGTCATTGCTAAAGTATCTGTTGGGTATTTTTTGTTTGGATCCGCAGGTCTCGGTTCGTCCATGTCCTACTAGAAACCCGATCGGGTATTCTAAGTATCCACAAATTATGATATATATTAGGTATATTTAGGTGATTGGGTATATTTTTGATAATTCAAGTATTTTTTTAAGTTTCAGATTTGGATTTTCGAATATAATATTAGGTTTTAGGTAAACTTTTAGATTTCAAAAAAATATAATTCGGATATTGGGGTAAAATTCCGGGTATATTTTTGATTTTTTTGGTCTGATTTTGGATAATATTTTGGAATTTTTTGCGGTTCTTCGAGCTTTTTTAGAGTTTTCGGGTTTTGGGATCCAGTTTGGATCCTTCGGATTTTTTTCGGGTCCTAAATATCCGAACCGACCCGATAATATACCCGAACCAACAAATCTGACAAGACCCGATCCGAAATCGACCCAAAAAATTATAGATACTTATATAGGTCCAAATTTTTAAGACTCGAAAGACATGGACCCGACAAAACCCGATCCAGACCCGACTCGAAGATCCGGATACTCAGAATTAAACAGTATATTACCCGCGCTTTGAAAGCGCGGATCAAAATCTAGTAAAGGTTTAAAGTAATTGATAGAAAAGCAAACAATAAAATAAGTACCAACGACCACTTTGTATATCTGTTTCCTTTGAACCAAAGCAAATCCCCACGTGACATCACATTCCAAAAACAAAATGTGAATCCATTGAATGCCTCACACAACTTGATCATAATCTTCTTTTCTTGAAACCACTTTTAATTCTTCCGAGTCACGAAAGTTTGTCCTTACCTCCCAAAGTACTCTTTCTTCCGACATTAACCAATGGATCACTCTATTCTCAGCTCCCATTATCAACCCCATTATACACTTTCTCCTCATATAAATAACACACTTACGCATTTGCTTCGATCAACCAACTCTCTCTGTACATGCATAACAAGAGAAAGAGGAGATCGGTAACATGTCTGATTGGGGACCAGTTTTTGTCGCGGTGACCCTTTTCGTGTTGCTTACTCCAGGGCTGCTGATTCAGATTCCAGGGGGAAACCGAGTTGTTGAGTTTGGAACATTTCAGACAAGTGGTGTTTCGGTTATTGTCCATACCCTAGTCTACTTCACTCTTGTTTGTATTCTCTTGATTGCTATCCAAGTTCACATGTATATCGCCTAGTCTAATAAAATTTTAAAAACAACCTCTCCATTTTCTGTACTGGTTTATTTTAGAAATTTATTTCACTTCAATTGCGTGTAAATCGCTATTTTGTTTGGTATAAGTAAACAAAGTGGTCTCGAAGCTACTAAAATTTTATTTCACTTGACTTGCGTGTAATTTTTTTTTTTTTTTTTGAAAAAGGATCGTGAGTAGTTTATATCGACATATGTAGTATGAATTATTGAAAGAAATCTAAACAGAAGTTACTGGATAATTCAGTTTGATCTAGCTATGCATGTGGGCCTCACTCATAAGCAATTATCCAGTGTTCAACCTAAAAATTATTTTAAGTGGGTGGAAAATCTTTCTTTTTTAAAAAAAAAAGGCTTAGGAAAATCTTTTTGAGAAAATTGTTTTTAGGCCAAAACAATTAATACATTGTTCTTTTAGGATAATCCAATTGTCTAATTATCTTATTAGGTTAAATATTCTTTAAATAGAAATAATATCCATAAAATTAGTTTATTAATTTAAAATTCTAATTAGAAAATAATAATTATATATTTAATGTTTAATAAAAACTAATCCGAAATTTAAAAAATATTTTCAAATATTTTATTCCCCAATTTCGAAATTACAAATTTTAAAAATATATATTTCCAAATATTTTTAAAAACATATTTCCATATATTTTAACAAAACTAATTCGAAATTTAAAAAATAATAATAAATTTCCAAATAAAAAAAAAAGTAATTCGAAATAAAATAAATTTTCCAAAAATATTTCCAAATACTTTAAAAACTAATTCGAGATTAAAAAAAAATATTTCCAAATATTTTAAAAACTAATTGTTTGTATCCATAGATTATGTATTATATTATATGTAGAAAGCAGTAAGAATGTTTGAAATCAAGGTTTTAGATTTATAGTAATGTGTATATTCTGAATTTTACCTATTTTAGATTTTTAGTAATATTTAGATTTTGATTTCTATTTAAAGAAATAAATTAACTGCAGAATGTGTATTCTAAATAGTTTTAGATTACTATTATTTATGTAGAACATGTATTCTGAAAATAATATATTTTATGGAAAAAATAGATTTTATATTCTACTTCGAAGAACGTCAATTTTAATATTTGTAGAACAAAATATGAACTTATGTTTTTTTTGTAAAAAAAAATTGCAAAGGACACCACTAAGTTAATATAGGTATTTCATAATTAGTTACTATTTTTTTTGAAAAAATTTTTGTTCACAAAACTATTTATTTGATTAATTTTTGAAAATATTAAAAGGCATAAAAATAAAAAATCGTATAAAATATAAATTAGCTTAAAGAACAATATCCTAAATATTTTGGTATAAAAAAACAAAATTTCCCAATCTTTTTTTGAGTAGTCATCATACTATCCCTTTTCCGCTGCACCCGTTTCTTCTCTATATGGCTTCCTTTTTTCTTCTTCGAAAATTCAATCGTTCATGATTACTAGTATTTAAAAATATCGAAATAAATTGGAGTAACTGTTAGGAGGTTTCAAATGGAGGCAAAGACTAAAATCCCAATAAAATGATTACTTGGATTTTGATATTTTATATAGTAGGCAACATTTTTCAAGTGAGAGGACAGCCAGTTGATTGAACACCCTGCTTTTGTTATTGAAACAATTACACCACAGGACAGTTTTAAGTTTCTTTTTACATAATAGAGCAGTTTCTGCTACAAATGCAGTTTATACTAACAGTTTTTCTCTTTTCGTTACTTTTTCTAAATTAGTTAGTCACTTAACAATTCTAACATTAACTATTTGACTAACTAAAGAGAGTGTACTAACGAGAATTTACTTCCACCACACATCTGTCTTCTATCCTTCCTCTTTTTTTTTTTCTTTTGTCTTCTTCCTCTTTTATTCTCTATTTTTTTAGAAAACTCAAATCTGATTTTTATATTTTTTTCACAGTTTTTTTTTTGATGAAATCGTGTTCTCCATTACTTGATCTATCTTTTGAGATCTGTGAAGGTGCATTTTCGATGTTGATGTACACCTTATTTAATGTACACATGTTATTGTGTGTACACTTTTTTTTTACAATACACATGTACATTCAAAATAAACCAATATATGTGAATAAGTTGTTCACATAAGCTAGACTGGTGGTTGCTTATTAAAAAAATACCAAACTACATAACAATGGGTGTACAGATGATTTTGTGTGTTATTCATATCTTATGATTTTTAGCTTTGATTTTAGTTCATTTAATTTATTTTCCAATACATTTTGTTAGTTTTGAAATTTTAGAGGTAAAAATGAAGCAATAAAAACAAAGATTATCGTGCAATTATGAAGAAATACTGGAATGAGTAATCAAGGAATTTGTTGGTTATATTGTGTACACTTTATGACATGTACACATGTACTTCAAAAATTGATCAATATATGTGAAAAAAATTGTACACAAGTAGGTGGATTGACGGTAGCTTACTAAAAATATAAAATACATAATAAAATAGATCAAATCAAACTGAATATGGTGTACATGAAAATAGGTGTACATATGGGTTGTGCATTTTGTAAAGCCTTTGTAATATAAAACCATAATTTTGATGTGCAACAAGCATATTTTGAACATGTGTGTACATAAATAATATATAATATTATACATAAACACGATTGTACACATGTACATAACCACGAATGTACACATGTGTACACGATTGTACACATTTACACACATGTATTCATGTACACGAATGACATACATAACAAACACAAAACATAATTGTTTATTTTGATAGTATGGAACAAAAAGAAAAGCAAACAAAAGATAAAGGACTAATGTGTACTTAAAAATAAAGGCTGAAATGAATAATCAAGAATTTAGGGAGCTAATTCGAGTAGACATCTGCACAATTACAAAGAATTGCGGTCAAAATGAAATTATGTGAATCATAAAGGACCAAATGAACAAAAAAATCTAAAAATAGCCATTGATGCTCTTGAGCTTGTTCTAACTGAATCGCAACAACGAGATGTGAGACCATGACTTCAAAAAATACTTTAAGAGTATGTGGTGGTGCAAAGTCTGGTGGTGCGGAAGTTGGCGGTGGTTGAGATTCATGGCAGAACTTGATTGAAATAGACGAACTTAGTTGAAGAGTTGCCCAGAAAATTGTGGTAAATTTAGGGTTTTAAAGGTAATAGATCTGAGTATTTTGTTCTTGAGATCTTTGTGTTTTTTTCTCCTTTTTTTAGGAAGATTGAGAGATACAAAAAAAGATAGAAATAATTTTGGGATTGAAAAAAAAAATACAACGATGGAAGAAGAAAAAGTAGGTAAGAAATAAAATAATGCTTTTCTTTTATTAAGTTACGATAAGTAAAGGAAGAAGAAAAAAGAAAGTGGAATTAGTTTGAATGGAAGGAAAGAGAGTGTATTTAGTTTATAAAAACTACCTCAGTAGTTATAACTGCCCTATAATGAAATAAAAAACTAAAAACTGCCTCTTTGTTATTTACCCAATCAGATTACAAAAATGATAATTATGAATTATTGTTAATTTAATCAGCCACACAAACCACCTTTAGTAGAAAATAGCTTTAAGAAAAAAGAAAGTGGAGATTAGGTTGAAAATAATAACATCAGGTTCTTTTTGGAGAAGGTTACATAAAAGGACACATTATGTGTTTTCTTTTCCCTAAAAGACACATTATGTATTTAGAGCACTTTACCTTGCCACCTATTTTTTTTTGGACGGAAATGACCCTGATTTTAGTAAGGAGAAAAATGTTTTGGTTGAAAGAAACAACTGTAAAGAAACCAGTTTCTTTTGTAACTGCAATTAATGATAAAATAATAAAACAAAAAGTTAGATATTTGAGTTTATAGGAATAGATCGTGTACGTCGGATCATTTTGAAGAAAGCAGATCCAACGCCAACGAGGAAACATGTTTTATCGGATGTAATTAATGTGTTGCAAAGCTTAAGAAAGCAAGTGAAACTTTATGGATGCTCTTATGTGGATACGGATGCAATACGTCAGTTAAATACCAAAAGAACAACACATATTGAGTTCGTGGAATTAAAGCACATGAGTAAACATAAGCCGAATGGCACATTAAAAACAAAAACAAAAGATGGTCAAAGATTAGGTGGATGGGTGATGTGTGGTCAAGAGTGGAGTAGTTGCGAAGTGTGTGTTCAGGCAATGTGTGGACGAAGCTTGTGTGGTTGGGCGACGAGCAGTGGTTAGATAAGTTGTGGACGAAAGAGATGTGGACATAAAAATCTATAAATCGCATACAATCTTGAGTTATGGCGGTGAGACGGAATGTTTCTTGTTTGAGACGATGACATAAAAATCTATAAGTCGCATACAATCTTGAGTTGTGGACGAAAGAGATGTGGACAACACATCCATCCACGATGCTTCCATCCATAATGCACTTATCCAAAAAGCTCTCAGCCACAATGATCACGTCCACGGTAAATCCATCCATGCTGAACTTGTATGAAGCTGAACCAAAACGATGGGGATCTTCATAATCCTCTCTAAAAGAGAAATTGAACAAAGATAATATCAACAAAGGATTCCAACCAAAGTTGAGTTTTTAAACAAAAAAGAGATCTTCAAATTAAATCTGGAATTTTTAGCAAGACAACATACAGCTCCAACAAGAAATTGACAGAGAGGTAACCGGTGGTGGTGGTGGTGGTGGTGGCGGCGAACGCGACATCACCGATTCACTTAACTTCTCTCCGATGATTGCTTCACCGGAATCACTATTGCTCAGCCTCGGTTAAGATCCGGATTTGCAGCAAGTCAGCCGTGAATGGTGAGCTATTGCTATGAAGTTTTTCACAAAACTAACAAAATTAACAAGAGACGGAGGATATGGAGAGAGACGGCCAAGAAGAAGCGGCGGGTGATAACGAGAGAGACGGCGGTGGATATCGAGAGAGGGTGGTTCTATTTCTCCGATACACCATGGTCGATTTAGGGGGGTTCTGTTTTTGGATCTAAATGATATCGACCATCTGGATCTGAAAAGATAAGGGAAGAGATAAGGTCGCGTTTTATCTCTTTATTTTTTAAACAAATCAAAATCTAACTAAACAAAAAGGAACCGTAGCAAGTTAAGAGTTTAATTAAAGAGAGTATCTAGTTAGAGGACATCTTAGTAAATAGACAAAAAGAATGTGTGTCATCTAGCAAAGTGTTTGTTAGTGTAATTAGAAACTGAGAATGTGTCCTCCAAAGTAAATATTTCTTCTTTTTGACATCAGAAAACAATACAACAGTTTTATGGTGAATACTAACTGAAGATGATAATCCATATTAAGAATTCGTATAGTTCCTATGACCAAGCAAAGACTTGATTGATTTGAAATAATTCTCATTATTTTAAATGCAAAAATCATATTAAATAAACTGGTATCCATCTTTGCAAATTTTTGGAAAATATCGCAAGAATAATATGATAAACTTTGTAAGTGTTTCAAAAAAAAAAAGATAAACCTTATATTGCTTTGATGGTACTATAAAATAATTAATAACTTAATCAACAAGTAACTTATAAATTAGAAAAGTTACGTTGAGGAGTGTGAAGTCGGTCGGTCCACTACATGTACCAGTCAGAGAACAAATATATTCGATTGAAAAGGATATATAGTATTCATTTTTAAATTAACACCCCTTTTTCAGTCCTTTACTTTAAGAAAAACGATTAAATTAAGCATTAGTTATCGATATTAGTATTTTTACGTGACCTCCTAAGTTAGTGAAACCACGTGATTAGTATTTATATTTAAACAAATTAAACATTCTATTACCATAACTCTCTTCTTTAAATTCTTCCATCTCCTCCTGTCATTTTCTCTAGCCACTGCTTTTCTAAAGGTGCAACTTTTTTTTTTACTTTTAACGGCGATCAATGGCGGATTGGGCTCCGGTTCTCGTCGGAGTAGTTCTTTTCGTGATCCTCTCTCCGGGACTTCTCTTCTCAATACCCGGAACCAACCGAGGGGTAGACTTCGGTAACTTTAAAACCAATGGAAAAGCCATAGCTGTTCACACTCTCATTTTCTTCGCCATTTACTCTATTTTGATCCTCGCCGTTAATCTCCACATCTACGCTGGTTGATATGTTCCGAGTCTCTCTCTTTTTTTTTTTTGTTGCTTAAATGAAATAAAAAGTGTAACGTTTAAAAAAAAAAACAAGTCTAGAAACTCTGTAGATTAGGGTTCTTTATATACCTTAAATCTATAGTTTTCTTTTGATTTTGTGACAATAGATTTGGTCAAAAGTTGTATTGTATCGAGTATTGTTACTTCAGTTTGCTTCTTTTATATTTTTGGTACTCGTATTCTCTCTTACATAACAGTCTCTTTAACTCTGTTAAATTCAGACAAAAGTTGGCACCACTTGTTGTCGAATAGTTAAGACAAAGAAAGGAGAGATATCAGAGAGATTTGTAATTACATTAGAGTTTGCAATAAAGCTCCCTTCTTTTTGTTACTTATATAAGAAGGGAAGAGCTCAGAAATGGATGTGAATTTGTATAGCAACCACCAAGATGGTAAAAATACAAAAGTATATAACTGCGTGAATCAAAATCGCGATACCGCTCGTGCTCATGTTCCCGAACTCAACCACTCTCGTCCTAGCCGGAATCTGAAACAGTAGTCCTGGTGATAGTAGGATGAACAGAGACACTGCTACAATCACCGTTCCCCAGTCCGTGCTCATGGATGACTGTTCAAGTGTGTGTGTGTGTATGTGTATAGACTATAGAGTGTTTGTTCTTTTGCAGATGGAGATTGAGACAAATGAGGAGTTATGTAGAAGGAGATTGAGGAGTCTTTTTGGCTTTTCTTGGTGGCTAAGTAGAAGCAATAAGAGGTTAAGATACTAAAGCATAGTGATATATTACAAGGAAAGTTAGTGTATTCTATATTGGCTTTAGCTTTTTGTGAGCTTTGGTGATTGTTCAATCAATTGTTTCTGTGCTCTCTGATAGTGTTTGCTTTTTGTTAAAGAAGTAGCTATAAAGTAGATTACTATTGCCTGAAGACGATATCAAGATATGTGTCTACTTGATAGTTTTCTTTTCTTTTCTTTTGGTAGTTGGGTTTCCTTTTTGTTTGTTTCTCTACTGATCAGTAGTAACACGGTACCCGATGAAGTTTTGGTGGTAAGAAATGGAATTTGATCTAAGAGCATTTCTAATATATGTCTCTATATTTTTTTCTAAAACAGAAATTTCTATTATAGAGGTGGATTTGCTCCAATATATACATTTACAATAGAATTCCTCTATATTTTTTTCTAAAACAGAAATTTCTATTATACCGGTAGATTTGCTCTAATATATACATTTATAATAGAATTCCTCTATAGAGGAATGTTATTCTTTGCCAAAAATAAAAATAGCATATCTCTATATTTTTCCCTATGCATACAATGGAGCAAATCCATCTCTATAATAGAGTTTCTCTATTGTAGAGAAACTAGGTGATTTTCCCGTGCATGAGTGCTCATGCACGGACATGTATATATATTTATAAAATAAATGTATAATAATAATTGATTGATATTTACTTTAATTTTTAAATTAATTTATAGTTTGTATGTCTAATTTATAGTATAATATTATATTCATTTAATTATATATATATAATTTTAGATATGTTATATTTAGTCTATTTTATTGTTTTTACGGTCGATTTAGTTATCAATTAGATGTATTGGATTCAATCTATTTCTCTAAATTCAACTATAATCTTTTCTATTTTAAATATATTTTTTGATTAATTGTTTTATTTGCATTTATGCTGGTTGTTATCTTAGAAATATAATTATATTTAGTAAGATTATATATAACTTAAGATTTTTTGTGCTTAGAAATAAAAAATATAAAAACTAAGTGTCTGGTTCTAAATTACATACATAAGTAACTAATGAATTTTTAGAAGCTTTTGAACACATATCAATATTTACAATAATTAAAATATTTTATAAATTCCCCTAAATACTAAACAAATTTATGCTTTAGATTGATTGGATAGTAAATTGAAATTTATTTTAAATAATTTTAAAAATAAGGATTCTGATTCGCTTAAGTATTTTGACTATGGTTATATTAAGTTTCACAAACATAAAAACAGAAAATTAAAAATCAAAAGATTTATTAAGAAAACAGATAATTTTAACTATTAAAATATAATATATCTACCTCGTTAAATTGTATAATGTTATGGTATATTAAAATAATTGTAGTTATTTTCTGTTTTTATGTTTGTGAAACTTAATATAACCATAATCAAAATACTTAAGTAATGAGAATCCTTATTCTTAAAACAGATAATTTCAACTATTAAAATATAATATATTTACCTCGTTAAATTATATAATGTTGTGATATTTTAAAATAATTGTAGTTACTTAATCAAAAGATGTTTATTATTAAATTTATTTTTAGTTTTATTTTTAGTATCTCATAAAATAGTTAGTAAAAAGTGATTGTTTTTGAGAAATTATACTATATAAGTAAAATAGAATTTATATTTTTATTGTAACTGTAAGATATTGTAGTCAAATAAATAACTAAAAAATAATTTCAATAATACTAATTATAAAAAATGTCAATTAAACATATATCAGTTTATGTTAGTTGATTATTTTATGTAATCATCTAATAAAATAGATAGATATATACAAAAATAATTATTTTGAAAATATATATATAAAGATAAAATATTTCTTTTTCTAATAGCAATATTTTTTGTGTGAATATGTTTTATGAAATCACATTATATACATATATTGTTTTTTTATCTAAGAAGATATAGATATAAAGTATTTTATTACTTCAAAGGTATATTTTATGTTATTTAAAATATATTTAAATTAAATATTACTATTTTGTGAACTTTCCTTTTTTATTAAACCATATTATATATACTTATATTTTCGTTTTTATATAGTTTTGTAAATTTTATAAATGTTTCCTTTTTATTTTATATTGTTATTTGGAAATTTTTAAAAAGGAAATAATATTTAATTATATTTTTAATTCATTAGGGGTATCATAGTAATCAACCAACGTGAGAGTTAACGTGAGCGCGACACCTAAGAAAGTGACTTCTCAAATAATATTATAGAGATTATAGCGATGAAAATGGAGGTAGATTGGAGATGGTGTAGCTAGCATCATTTGGTGTCTAGTATTTCTATTTCTTTTGATTCCTCTATTTTTAGTAGCCCATGGAGTTTCAAAGGTTATAATATTTTTTGCTTGTAAGGTTAATTTGCACGAATAAAAATCTAAGAGCATGTTCAACGCTGAATCTTAGCATAATATTTTTATTGATTTTTTATTATTAATTTGTTTAATAAAAAAGAAATTAAAATGTTAACCAATCGCGAACCGTCACATGTCAGTGGAACCTTCGAACAATGTAAGAAATGAAAAAAGAACGTTCCTGATTTTGCATACAGAAAAGCCGTTTTTTAAGCAAACAATGAAACCCATTTATATTGTTATTATTTTTGGGAAAGAAGCTATACTAAAATTCGCCGATAAATCCGTTCTAAGAGCATTTCCAATAGAGATTCTAACTCTTGGGGTTCTAGCACAGAATTTTTGTTGGTTTTCCATAAAATTTAGAACCCTGTAATTACATATATATAAATATATGTGTACTTTTAAAATTCGAAGAGCTAGAATCCCTATGAGGGGTGTTCTAAGGGAGTCGTTTTTGTTTGATATTTTTAAGAGCAGGTACTCGTTTGGACTAGAGCAGAGATGTGACTGTTGTGAGCGGTTAACCATTGTGGCTGATAGCATGTCCATCCATAAAATTCTCAAAATGTGTATATAAAAAGACAAACACTATATTTTTAATTCTATTTAAATTTTCATATTAAAAAGACAAATAGATAGGTATGAAAGTGACACATAGGAGAATGATTATCTCATGGGTACTGAAGAGTTATCAAATGAGATACTCTTCTTATTTTCTTTCATCTTTTTTTTTTGTATAATTTAATTTTGTATAATGTAATTTTGGATTAGAACTCCCATTAGAAGTGCTCTAAGTCACCAATGCCAATGGACTTTGATTTGGATACTATAATTTAACAGAAGCTTCTTATTCTTTACCTTAAACCAGAATACATTTTTTTCTCCAACAAACCAGAATACATAAACTTATAACTACACACATATTAATAGACACTGATTTTAACATATATGTATATATGCTTGGTAGGAGATAAATTTGCTTGGAGCATCAGTCGAGGTTTGCAGCAATATTGTGTGTATATATGCTTGGTATGAAAACTCTTGAGAGAGAGAGTGAGAAATAACATCTTGAGATCCATATTCTGTATAACATCTTGACTTACACTCTGCGTCAGTCTTGATCCAATTTTCTCTTTTCCACTTCACTTTCGACATGGAACTTGGAACGAGAAACCCTCCATTAAGACCCGAGATCTTGAGACAGCAGCTTCTTCTGTTAGCTATCTTGTTATCGTCTCTTTCAGGTGTACACAGAACAGGATGGACTTTACTTTGGAATATTTGAACATTCTATAACCAAAATAAAAACCAAAACCACATTAATTAGTTTCAGAATTCTTTCGATCAAACTCTTTGGGAAAGATTTAAAAGTACTGGAGAGCTCAGAAGACTCAAACCTTTCTTATATCTTTCTTCTTGTGCATGGAATCAACATCGTCATCATCATCATCAGTATTTCTTGTCTTTGAAGGAGAGACGTGGAGCTTTTCAAATATCTTTTTAATCAAATCTCTTGTGCCATGTTTCTCCACTGCATTACACTTTCTTTCTACTGCCTTTCTCCTCTTGAAGAGGCTTTTAAGTAAACTCTCTATCTTCTTGACTTCACTGCTTCTCTTAGTAAGTTCAGTAGATGATCTAACAAGATCATGACCTTGTGCAGGACATGCATCAGATTCTGCCTTTGATCTCTCTACCTGTTTACTGATACTATCTTCAGGATATTCCTCAAGAAACTTGTCTAGTTTCTCAGTAACAATCTTTGCAACGGTTACATCGTCTTCTACAATGGAAGCTGTGAATTTAGGTGTTTCAGGATCTCTACCAAGCGTCCCAATCGCCAGAAAGCCGCTGAACCCGCCTTCATCAAACCAAATTTCCTCGTCAATTTTAGGTGGGTTTGGATCATGAGATTGTCTGGAAAAGGAGAAGGAGTTTGTTCGGATGTCTTGGACTTCAGAGGAAACTTGAGCTCTTAGACAACAAAAAGCACCTGAAAGATAGCTTGACTTTATAAATAAACCAAAATCATATATGTGTAACATTGTATGAAGATGAAGATTAGTATTTGAAAGGTTTCATGAGAGATGTAAGTTATAAAAGTAATTATTAAACCTTTTAACTCCTTTGATGGATTAGAGCCACTTCGGTTTATTGTTCGCATCCAACCTAGCAGCTGCATGAGATAAGATTAAGTAAATTAAAAGCTCATTAATTATCAAAAGAAAATATCAATTGATTAGACTTGGAACTAATTACCTTCATGTTGTCCTCACTTCTTTTATTTTTCTTTAGGGTTTGTTTATTATATATAGGTGTAAATATAATTAAGTAGATCATAGTTTGAGCTAGAAGGATCCGAGTCATATGATTGAGCTTAGAACAGTGCATGAGTTATGTTGTTATTGTCCGTACTCTCATGTCGTAATGCGTTTAGGATCTTATAATAACTGGCACAACCCAAACCAAATATAATATGAGTACCACATATGATAGAGTATCGACAAGGACCATAACAATGATTGTGTGATTTGCATTCATCGGAACTTCTTTACGTGGGAAACGACTGAAATATATTAAAGCACGCACGATGGGATGTTACAGAGATAAGGAAAGGTTGCTTTCGAGCTCAAAGGTACTGTTAATACAAAAGTCTCTGGCCAAGGTAGAGACTAAAGAGTGTCTCCCACTTTAGCCTCTCTTTTGTTCGGACATGTACGTGAACGTTCTCTCACAAACTGTCACGTGTATCATCGCTCGACCTAACATGACATGACACAACACCGTCGTAACTGTGGAGTTATTATTCATGTCTTTTATGTACTGTTCATTCTTGCATGCTTTTTTTCCCTCGAAAGGAAAATAAAGTGATGTAAATCTTCAAAAGGAGATGGTGTTTTGTTCCATCTTAAAATGAAAGGCGTGCAATCAAGCTATAGAAGTCTCTAGCTCCTCGAGAGAGTTCCACTTGCGACCGGGTATATTTGTCCGGACTCTGCCCACTTCACCGACCATTGTCTAGAATTTTCTTTATGTGTACAAATGGCTCGAGCTGTACGGTGGATCTACCTTAAATGATTAATTTAGGTTATTATACAAATTTATTGCATTTTCATAAGTGACGGCCTACCTGAAAACTTAAGACTTTTGTTTAAGGCATTTACCACCCAACCTTGATATACATATTGAAATTGCACTGGAATGGTTAAAACTCTGATAATCTAGTGTCATGATAAGTGTCTCAGAAACTACAGGACTTCAATGAATTGGTTGCAATGTAAATATATAAATAATTGTCATCTACGTTTCACTAATATATCTCTATAATATTATTTGAGAAGTCAGTTTCCTATGTGTCGTGCTCACGTTAACTCTCACGATGGTTGATTACATGGATACCCTTAATAAATTGTTAGATTTTAAATTTATTTTATTTTTTTATTTAGTTTCTTTTTTAGGTTTTCCAAATAACATATATAATAAAAATGAAATATTTCTAAAATTTTAAAACAGATTTAAAAACGAAAATATATGTATATAATATGACTTTATTAAAAAAGAAAGTTCACAAAATAGTAATATAGCCCATTAATATATATTTTTAAATAACATAAAATATATTTTCAAAATAATAAAAATATATATATGTTCATGAACATCCAAAATTTATCAGTTACACTTTATTTTCTAATATTTTTTAGAAATCAACATATAATTGGATAAATATTATGAAAATACTTGTATATTTAAGCGATAAATAATACTAATTTGATTTGAGTTAACTAAAAAATAAGAAATAAATAAATATTATGAAAATACATGTATATTTAAGCGATAAATATAACTAATTTGATTGGACTTAACTAAAATAAAAAGTAATTATACTTCAATTTTAACTCAATATACTCACAACATGAATGACTCGACGAATCTAATTTATATCAAAAATTAAACATCTAACTACAATAAGAACATATAATTTTATAGTAATAATAATCTATTTAATTTTATACATATAAATTAGAGGTTAACTCAAAGCATATTAAAAAGAAAAAAAATATTAACCAATTACAATTTATTCTTTTGTAGAATTTATATATATGCATGAAACTTCAAAATATTATCATTATATTCATTTATGTAATTTTGAATCAAACACTTCAGCTTATTATTTATTTTAGTTTAAGCACAATACATACATATATATATATATATATATATATAAGTTATATATAATTTAACTATAATATATTTACATATCTAAGAATATATTTACACATCTAAGACAATAACCAACCGAAATGAAAATAAAAAAAAACTAATCAAATTTTTATTATATTTACAATAAAAAATATTATAGCTGAATTCGAAAAATAAATATTATCCAATATACCAAATTAATAACCAAACCGACTATTGATCCAAAAACAATTAAACCGACAATAATATATCCAAAGTCATATGTATAATTAGAATAATATAATATTTATTAATTTAAACTATATATATAAATTGTTACAAAACTAAAACTAAATATCAATCAATTATTATAAAATTTTGTTTTTATGAATATTTATACCCGTGCATGAGCACGGGAAAATCACCTAGTAAAGAAATAAAAGCGATAACGGCTCTGTTCAGTTTTCATTCAGTTTCTGATAAGAATGAATGATGTTCTAAGGTATCTGTATTATTGAACAAGGAAACAAGAAGAAAATTTACAACGTTAGACTTGTGGTGTGTCCCAAAGTAAACAAAAGAAGAAAGAGCTATTTCAATGTACGTATAGTGTTTAAGATCTTTCTGCTTCTTATATATATCTTTCTGATCGATACACATGCATGGAGATTGGTTTGTTCCGTACACTAAATTATCATCGCACTGTCGCACATGCGAAACCCGACAAATGAGAATATATAATCAACTGGTGTGCTTCGTAGATTTCATCTTGGTCCAATCTTTATCTTGTATTTTTTTTTTACAATTCTTGTAGTTGCAACTTTGCAAGTTTTGGGTTCCACTAAGACTTGTGATCGCTGAAGGTGCTACGCGTTCTCATTCGCTTCGGTTGATCCTATAAATTGACGTTCACAAGTAGACGTATAGAATCGACAGAAACATATGTTTGGATCATAGTGAAATATATCGGTTATACGTACACAAGAGTGGAGTTTCAAAATGTGACACTAGATATTTCATAAAACGATCAGCGTATCCCACAAAAAAAAAAAAAAACTAATTAGCCCTTTCTCAAAAAAGAAAAAAAAACTAAATACTCTACTTTTTTATATCTAAACTAAAATAGGTTGTGGTCTGCGCCACTCGCAGATTGTAGACAACTAACTACATATTTTGTTATAAATTCTTTTTGATGATAGTTATTGAAGTTTACTTGTAAACTTTCTAAAAATTAAGAATTAAGATCCTGGACATAAAGAGAATACATGGGCAAGAGTGTTGTTTTGATTTGTGAAGGCTTAACCTCTTCAACTTCTCCATGTTATAAGAGGGCGTTTTTAACATGTCATATAGTACAGGTGGGCTCCCCTCGCATGTAGTTTATTTCGAAGGTGACTAATGTCTATTAACCGTAGAAGAGCATGATTAGAGCATCATTAACCTTTAAGAACCAAAATTTGGCTATTAAGTTTTGTTAAAAAAAATTAAAAACCAACCAATTGCAGATCGCCTTATATAAGTGGATCTGCGAAAAGCACAAAAACACAGAAGAGGAAGAAAAGTTGGGTTTTATAAAAATTATGGGACCCACTTAAAAGAAGGGGTTAACGATGTTCTTAACCAGGTTTTTATGCAATTTTTTTCTGATTAAAAAAATATTAAAATATAAATCAATTGCGACCGCTATGTGTTTGTGGGATCTACCAATGATCCAAAAATCTCCAAGAACTATTCCTTACGGAAGAGGAGGAAGAAGCAAATTTTTTTAGAAAAACATAGATCCTACACCTTAAAAACTAGTTAAGATGCAGTGTTAACGCTGCTCTAAGTAAAATTTTGATCTATTGTTGATGCGGATAATAGATTTCATGCAGTATTTATGTCACATTAACATTAATTTCTGTTATGTAGAAAAAAACAGAGATTTCTGTTTTTGTGTATTTTTTTAAAACACCAACCAATGTATCTATGATTTGAATACCTTTCGTTTGCTCATCCCAAGCTTCATCATTTTGTTATCTTTTTAATATTCAAAATATATACATATGGGATGGTTAGTGACTATGCAAAAATGAGGGATGAATAAAGATTTAATTAAACTTTAATTAGTTTTGAACCAAATACTCGTTTATTTTACGTATTTGGTTTATTATGAAACTAAATTAATAAAAATAATTGTTTTTTTTACTTTAAAACTAGGTGTTTTTCCCGCACATGCGGGCATAATTTTCGTACAATCTATTATTAGTTTATATTTTATTAATTCAAACCAATATAATAAGTTATGATTTATGTGCGGGCATAATTTTCGTACAATCTATTATTAATTTTTTTTATTAATTCAAACCAATATAATAAGTTATGGTTTATGTTTTAAAATTAATTATAAATGGCAACACTCACATAAAAAATATTTTAAAAAAATATTTTTAAAAATGTGTTGCTTTAATTTATTTTAATTATATTTTTTTCTATCTTAATTTTTTTATTTCTATAATAAAAAGTATATTTTCAGGATAACAATATAATACGTAAGAAGCTTTCTTCTCAAAATATAATTTTTAAAAGAAATTTGTTTTTATTTTATAATAAATTTTATATGAAATTATTACAAATATGACAATAATTAAAATTATCTAAATCATGGAGAAATTACAAATCAGATGATTCATTTAAATTTTCTAATAGAAAATATATGTTCAAGATAATAATCTAATACATAAGAATTATCTTATTTTATTAAAATCTAGTATTATTAGTATACATTCGTTTTATTATTTAATAAATTATATATGAAATTATTAAAATATGATAAATAAGCAAAATATAAAACCATGGAGAAGTTGATAAATCAGCATTGCTTTCTTTATATTTAACTATTAATATTTTAACTGAATTTTTAATTTATATGATAAAAAATATATTCTAGAGATAACAATATAGTACATAAGAATTATCTTATTTTCCAAAAGTATAATATTATTAATAGATTTTTTTATTATATGATAAATTATTCATAAAATTATTAAAAATATAACCAATAAGCAAAATTACCAAAATCATGGAGAACTTACAAACCAATCAGT